AATATCCCTTTTTTTTTTTTTTTTTTTTTTTTTTTAGCCTGCAGGGAATATTTGTGTTATTGTGCAAAGTAATAAATTGGTATTTTATGCCTATAACACACACCTTGGTCTCCTGTCATTTTTAAAGTTCAGTTATCCTACTTACAAAATCTGTTTTTTTTTTGTCCATAAGTATTGTATAGTTATCACTGATTTAAATTATATAATTTGTATTTAAAGGTTGATTGTTTAACGTTTTTTTTTTTTTTTATGTTTTCTAAAAATAGATTGAATTTAAAGCCACTAGATGGCAACACCTGCGTAGGTCTACAAGGTAAACCACTCACTGTTGTGATGCAGCACTATCAGAATAGCTTGTACAGTTACATATTAATGGAACTGGCCAACATTTTAAATACCCTACCAAAAAAAATCTCTTGGTTTTCAAGAGACCAAAAAGCTTTGGTCTCTTGATTTTCATTGTATGATAAAGAGCAGCTTGGACATTTCAATTAACTCCTTTTGTGTTCTACAGACAAACTTGAAATGAGGATTTGTCTCTCACTCTCTTTTCCCCCCAAAGTCATTTGAGAAGTGTATACTACTTGTGGATACTTAAAGACCAGCTGTTGATATTACTGTTCACATTTTTTTTTTTTTATACAGGTTGCCATTTCAAACGCTATATGATTGTTGAATTACACGAGCTTCATTGTGGGCCATCACTCATTCATCTGCTCTCTTTCTCTCGTTTGTGTACCCACTCTCATTTCCTGTGTTCTATGCTGTTGTCATGACCACTGTTGCCAAGGAGAGGCAGCCACAAGAGAAAGGAAACTTAAACCAGAGATCTTGTAGCTGTAATATTTAATTCATCACCTCAGACACTAACGTTTGCATGTTATGGAGAAGGATGAGACAAAGGAAAAGGGCAAACCGACATAAAAACAATGAAGCCATTTGAAACAACTTGGTAGTAGTCTCTTTATCAAATAATTATATTTTAAAATGTAAGTTACAGTAAGTCTGCCCAAAAAAAACAACACTATCAATTCATCTTTAATCACCTCGCAAGGTAACCTTATATTGCTGTAATCAGATCATTTGTACCTTTGTAAAATATCCCTTTACAACTTGACAGCCATGTAAATTCACACTTCTTCCTAAAATGCTGTTATACTGAAGAGTTTTGAGGAAGCAGATTACTGATGTTCTCCATCACAAAAAATGGACTGGTATACTAGTGTGAGGATTTTGGTGTTAGTCATCACAGTCGCCCTCAGAATTGCCCACAACAGCAAACACCCTCACAAGCCCACTCTTATAAAGCAATTTCTTTGTCAAAACAGTCTCATAAAGGAAAAGGGTAAGCACTCTTTGCAGTGTCCCTTCAAAAGCGCTGAATGTTTTGAGGCGTATTGTTGACAGCCCCTAGATTGTCTTTGTGTTAATTGATCTGCTAGCAGACAGCACTCTCGCCCTCCCTCCTGTCTTGCTCCATCTCCCTTTATATCCTGCCATCCGCTGCTTTCCTTTCAGGATGAGAGTGGCTTTGCTCGACAGTGTCTCTAAAGATGGATTAGACTGGCATACTTGCAACACCTGTAAGGGTTATCGGCCTGCCCAATAGGCGATCGCTACTCTGACAGCAAGCAACCAACCCGTGAAGGTTTTGTTGCAGGGAACAGGACATTGCTTTTGTCTTTGCCTAAGTGTCCTGAAGCACAGCACTTCTTTTTGTGTCTGCTCTCGATACGATCCTCTTCTCTATAAGAGCACCTAAGCTAAAGAGCTTGAAAGAGGACAACGTCTTTACTTTTGGCATCTATTCGCACAGGTGTCACATCTGAAGAACCTTTCTTTTTAATTGTGGATCATTTACGAAGGCCTTTGCCATCGTTCAGACTCTAGTTTTGGTTCTGTTTGACGTTTGTTGGGTGCTTGGAAGTAATGCATCTTTGACAGCCACTGCATCTATGTCACGGTATCAAATTCAATCGGTGTGACCTGTTTGGGTAAGGCAACACCGGACTGGGTGGCAACAGAGACACATGTCCATGCAATAAGAGTAGATCTTTCTTTACCGAGAAGACAACAAGTCCACACCACTTTACAGTGGTGCAAGACCAACTTCTACCATCTGGACGTAGCCTGTGATGGTGGTACCCTTACTGAAGTTCAATCAATCCCATGTGGGTGAGTTGAGACAAGTGCCAGCAGTTCTTCAATTATTCATTACTTCAAAGAAAGACCAGACGAAAGTGAGCACGACTGTCCGAGAATCCAAAAGATGGACTAGAATGCGGCTGAACAAAACTTTGTTCCAAGAAATTTGAAAGACAAAACAGAAGTCTGGCAAGGATCTTTTTAAGGAGGACTGACCAAGACTTTTTGCGGAGAATTTGCAAATGTGACGAGACCAAAAAACGGACTAGTATGCACCTGAACAAAACTTTGCTTTGAGAAATTTGAAAAAGACAAAACCGAGAGGTCTGGCAAGGACCTTTCAAAGAAGGACTGACCTAGACTTCTTGCTAAGGATTGACAAACGTGCCGACCTCTGTAGGCAAGGAGGGCTGAAGCTATTATCTATAGTTGGAGCACCTGCAAGCGGAAAAGTGTCGTCGAGGTTGTGGCCCGAGGAGGCGTGGTACTCAGAGGGTGGCGAGATGGTGAACACAGGTATGCAGCTGATCAGCTTCACCTGTGCTGTGACAGGTTGGGTGATGGCTATAGCAGTGACTGCACTGCCCCAGTGGAAGGTCACGGCCTTCATAGGCAGCAACATCTTGACCTCCGAAATTGTTTGGCAGGGGATCTGGATGAACTGCATCTACCAGACCACTGGCCATATGCAGTGTAAGACCTACGACTCCATGCTGGCTCTACCGCCTGATATCCAGGCAGCACGGGCACTGATGTGCATTGCTATCTTCTTGGGCTGGTTGTCCTGCACCGTTTCTTGCTGTGGAATGAAGTGCACCACCTGTGCCGGGGATGATCGCCATGCCAAGGCTGGCATAGCGCTGTCCGGTGGGGTGCTCTTCATCCTGACGGGCCTGTGCATCCTAGTGCCAGTTTCCTGGACAGCGAACACTGTGGTGCAGGACTTCTACAACCCCAATGTTCCCCTCCAGCACAAGCAGGAGCTGGGTCAGGCCATTTACCTGGGATGGGCAGCAGCAGTGATTCTTATGATCAGCGGGGCGGTGCTGAGCAGTACCTGTCCACACATCGAGAGAGGAGGGTACAGACGTGGGTACATAGGTCGTAGTTTAGCAAACTCAAGGCCTTCTGCTCCAGATCCGCCGAAGTCAATCACCACCAGTACCCTGCCTCTTAAGGAGTATGTATGATAAAGATAAATGAAAGCAAATGTGGGAAGGTGTGGCTAAACAGGGATAATGATTAAATGTGCACTCAGTAATTTTTGTTTCAATGGACAGATGCATTTTGTGTCATTGTCACTGTGGCATGTGTCCACGTTTGCCATTTGAAGTCCCATTTATCTGCTCATTTTCTTTCATTGCTCATACATCGGACACATTGATGCTGTTGACTACGGCTCCTTCATTATGTTGTCTGTAATATACATAATGTACTTACTGTTATATTGTTTGGTTTGCTTTTGTTTGGATATATTTTTATGTTTGTAAAGCTTTATTTTTTAAAGTGTCATTTCTGCACAACCCAAATGGAATTGCAATCTGCTATTTTTCAGTGCAACAGTGGCACAACCAATGCTGTGAGTTTGGAGTGGGACTATTACTTTGTAAACAGGAGTGTTTGACAACAGTTTCTATTTTTGAAATTCTGTTTGGTGATACTAGTGGAGCAGTAATTACGCATTTCACCTTTGAATTTGTAGCTTTAAAGTATGTCGTTTCTGTACCACTAGCAAAAACAGAATTGGACAAATAAGGACTGCCATTTACCACTGAAAAATTGATAGTCTCATCCCAAACATTGGAAAGAATGACACACTTAAGCTTTAACTGAACTCTGAACTGTAAAGCAAAGCTGGTCATGTAATCTCAGCTTGCTTCAGTAGGTCTTAGTGTACATTATTTTTCATTTGTTAAAAGTATTATTATTATAGTAGAATAGTATTATTCAGTTAAGGGTTTTAATGTGGAAAAATGTACTGAGTGCACCTTTAATTAAAGACAGTCTAGTACAGGGGTGCCCAAACTCGGTCCTGGAGGGCCTGCAGAGTTTAGCTCCAACTTGCCTCAACACACCTGCCTTTAAGTTTCTAATATGCCTAGTAAGAGCTTGATTAGCTGGTTCAGGTGTGTTTAATTGGGGTTGGAGCTAAACTCTTCAGGACAAAAGCCCTCCAGGACCGAGTTTGGACACCCCTGGTCTAGTATCTAGAATTAGGAACATAGAGTTTGAGTAGTAATATTCTAGTAGTATTGCAGTGGGTCCAAGATTTTCAGAAACATTTTCTTTGCCTTATTGTTTGTCACTCTCTCTGCCTTTTACTGTATTTTCTCGTATGAAGTGTTCATTCAGGTATTCAAATATTTATGAGTACTATATTTAGATTAGTTTTTACCACATTTTGATTAGACTTTGTTTTTTTAGTCCAATAGTATTAACGCTTAGGCCCATTTTGCAGTGTTTTTTTTTTTTATCTATCTTGTACCTTGTAGGCAAATGACAGCTTACCACTGTTGTCCTTAGAAACAGTACACCCACACTCAGTATGTCTGATTGCTGTGTTCATTGTGATTTCTCTGTATTTATCAATTAAAACTGTGTAAACCTGAACCATTTGAGAAAAAAATAAAAAGACATGTGATGTGACATACATTCACCAACAGTGCAATCATTTTATCAATATAAAGAATAAAATTCATAAATTAAATAACCACATTTTTAAAATAGAGCACTGCTCTTACAATGTTGTCAAGCTAATGGCCAAAACAAAAAATTAATCCAGGAGTCTGAGTTCCACCATTACCATACCACTTTCTCTCTTTTTTTTTGTAAAGGATCCTTCATTGACATACTGAGAACAACAGCCAACACAGGATGTGGAAATGACTTCTTGATAACACAGCTGACATTCATTCAGTCTCCATGAAGAATGATACTTGACACAATGCATCTAAAACACAAAAACATGAACCCAAAATATATATTTAGAAACCAAAATCTCTCATTTTACTATTATCATTGCATATATTTGTATACATTACATGCACATACATTCTAATTTGTGACTCTTATAAAATGTCGCACTTTACAACAAACAAACTAATGATTAATAGATGCAGCCAAACAATTGCACGGTATCAACATATTAAATGTGTTTTTTATGGCCACTTGTGATAAGAAGGGAGTGACAGCATCACAAAATATTCTGGACCGCTGTTTATGCCCGTTTTAAGTTCCAACCACTTGTAATCAGATCACCCAAGACAGACATTAATACCAGGTGAAAATGGGGCCAAAGAGTGTAACCTTATCTATTCTAAAAAAAGGGGAAATACCTGCAATTCTCTCCTCTCCAGTAGCTGAATGTAGAGATTCCCATTTCTTTGGTGCCGTTTCCATTAACGTAAGGTCATTGGGTGTCAGCGTCTGCAGAAGGTTCCTTCTTTGCACTAATCTAACCAGATAAATTGAGGATTCACTGCAAAATAATGCATGTACCAAACACAGAGAGAGATGAAGTATAACATAGATGCCAACAGTGGTCATGAGGAATGTGACTTAAAGGATACTGTAGGCGGTAATAGCGATCTGCATCTTGAAGCCACTCTAACATGTCTGAGATGGAGGGACAGATGGCTGATCTGGAGACACAACCAGCAATGTCAAGAGTGTCTGTGTTCTTCTCATAGAACTGGAAAACAGCAGACACCTGTTGACTGATGGCATCCCGCACACTCTGAAGAGCATCCCTGGAAATAAAGACAAAATTAAATGAAGCATTGGTTTTTATGTGCATTAAAATTATAATCTAACAGGACTCACATTTTCTCAGCTAGTTTTCCCAGAACTGCATCCACAGCCAGTGACAGTTTGTAATATAGGCGTTCTTGTAAACTAGGGAAACTGGCAAGAGGTGTGGTTGCAATCTGAACGCTTTTCAATGCCTTCAACTGCACTGCAAGGTTTCCAAGAGAGCTCATGAGAGGTTTACATTCAGCTAATTCACCGTCCCAAACGCTTTTATTCGCTTTTAACGTCTCAAAGCATTTTTTCAGTTGTTGGTGCAATGATAACAAAACAGCACTGGACATTTTTTAAAATCCTTTTCAGTGGCAGAACTTGAGAACCACTGTGAACTACGTTCTTTTACAGAGGATTCCTATGACAAAGGAATTAAAAAATATCTATTTAAAAACTCTAATATTAATCACAACCCGCCAATATTTAAATTTATCTGATAAACCACAAATCACATATACAAAAATCTTCCCGTTTCCTTCGTAAAAGTACATGTGAATAATACAGCGATGAGCTCCTTCCGGGAAAATGTCTCATCATCCACCAATCCGCTTGTTTCTTTCTTTAGCCTTGACAGTAAAACTCTCAAACATTGGCCAGAATCTTCTTTTAAGAGGGACGATATCTTATTGGTCAGAGCACGGAGCGTATTTACGAAACGACAGTCAAAGCTGCGTGCTGATTGGCTTAGTGACGTAGTAGCGTTAAATTTGAAAAGGCTCTTCCTAACCGTTGCAGTGAGAAAAACAGTTTCAACATAGACCGGGTTATTAGAGTAAGAAAATATTAATGTCCTTTAAATGAGTTTAAAACGATTGAATTAACTAGATATATACCATGTACTTAAATATATATGAGCGTAATCGCCGTGGGTTTGAAGGAATTCATCGTGTTTGTTTTTCAGGTTCACCATGGCACCAAGAAAACGCACTCAGAATGCTAAAAACAAGAAGAATCCCAAAACGCCGAAACTGGAAGCTTTTTTGCTTGATTTTGACGATGAAGGTAAAATTTGTCGCTAGTGTCTGAATACATAAGTATTTGTGTCCATATTTTGAAAGCTTTATTCTTTGTTTGTAGTGCATACCATTGTTGAAAGACTGAAGGAGAAGACGAACAATCTTCTGAAAGATGCAGACAACCTTTACAAGACAGCTCTGATAAAGCTTCCCATGGCAGTGAGGAAAATGAACTGGATCGAGTACTGCAGTAAGTCATATATGTCAGTTGCACCGTTTTGACAAATAGTCCATGTAGTGTCTGGTAATATGTGGTAAAATAGCATAGGAATGAATATCGTGCATAAATACAGTTCTCATTTTAACCTTCAGATATAGAGAAGCCAAAGTCACCAGTGGATGATTCAAAGGTACTTGCATTAAACATGTTTGTTTGGCCATACCTTTTACATGTTGTAAACTCCTCAATATTGTTAAATCGATCACTGTTGGTCTTGATGTAAAGTCTTCTCTCTGTTCAGGTGAGGGAGGAAGCTGCTCAAGTGGAGCTTGCTATTACCGAGAATCATGTGATTCCCAAGTTTGCTGCCAAAGGTACATTTTGCATCCTCTGTCAGCTTGTAAAACCTTCTTGCTTATAATTTTGAAGCTGATTTTCCCACTTTCACCTCATTTACAGAAGCCAAGAATGGTACAAACTCAGAGGATGAAAACATGGCACCCCTCAAGTCTACGGTGAAGAAGGTTTGTAGTAGTATGGTCTTTGTAATCTACCAAGTAGGGTAGTTAAAATCATGTTGAAGTTATTGTATTGACTAGATGAACGCATGTGATTGTCATGTTGTCACTATGTAGCAGTGGAAATAAATGTAAAAATATGCGACATCTAAAATCAGGATTACCACTTTCAAATGTCTAATTAGGAAATGTTGCAGTCCAAGTTTACATTTATACATTTGGCAGAAGCTTTTATCCAAAGCAGCTTGCATTGCATTCACTGTATACACTGTTTCAGTTCATGTATTTTCCATGCATAACCTTTATTTGACCCTCTAACTCTAACACTTTCTATTCTATTTTA